TAGCAATTAAAAACAAAACTGAGAAAAGTAGGTGTTCCTTTTGTCTTTCAGGAATCCTTTAATTAGATCCCATATTTATTTATTCATGACTGTCCAAAGACAGACTGTGAAGAAACAGCACTTGCTTTGTTTAATGTTCTATTACGGTATGTGTGCATTGCAGTAACTTCTAGCCTAGAGATAATAGTTGACCATCTTCTACAGATTGCAGTGTGATTATCTATGAGAAGCACATACATCCCATTTTTCCTGTTCAAGGGTTTTTGCACCCCTTCAAAACCTGCAGAATGTGGTACAAATGAGGTGAGGTTTTTTTATCGTGGGAAATATTGCTTCCGTTGCTTCTATTGTTCTCTTAAAACTATTAAGTATTTAACTCATTAAGATGAATGTGCCACCAATTTGGTTGGCAGTGTGGCAGCCTTAACCCATTCTGCATTTGTCTGTGGCTTCCTCTCTCTAACCAGAGGGCTCAATCAGACATTTATAGCGTACTGTATGTATATTAATTAGATTCAAGAAAACTCTTTTCTGAAGGAAGGACTTCTATTACCACATTGTTTTAATCCTAAAACTGCATTTTCTGGCCACCTAAAAGAATTCCTTGCATATGTTAAGTCTCTCCTTTTTTTTCTCCACATTATCCATTTTACCAATAGATATCCATCAAGGATTAAATATCAGTTGTCACAATCATTAGCTCAGGCTTCCCCCAAACTGGACTTTCCAGATGTTTGGAATTACAAAACCCAGAATCCCATTTTGCAGGGCCAATGTGTAATCTCAATGTGGCATACATTTGCAATACTAGCTGGTAACTAGTCCCTGGTAACTAGCTTCCGCATAGGAAATGACATCACTTTGGTAATGAGATCATTAACCAAACATTGTCATGATGGACAAGATGTCACTGAGCCTTTATCAGGCACCTCAGATGGATGGATTCGCATAAGATGATAAACTATAATGTGGTAAGTTTGGCTTGGTACATTGTGTGATCCTAACCATTATGGCTAGTTAGCTATGGGTTATGTATCAGCATGGTGCATGAACTTGGTTGCCAATCACCTAGTTTGTTCCCGTGTCCTCTTGCCAAAAGCTTCTAGTACTCCATGAAACTCAAAGAAAACCTAGCCTTTGACTCACCATAGTGGTATTCTGGCAGGCCCTGTGTTGTGTTTTACCCCAACAAATCCTGATAGCGTATCAAACAAGCTCAAGGACTTTTCCCCAAGTCCAGCTAGGTGAAAAGGAATGGGGAGGCAGGCCATTGCAGACACTCTGTCTGATGAGAAAGAAAACAAACAAGGAATGATCTCACAAGAACATAAATTCCATCTGTAGCGTAAGTGTGGGAGGGAATCCTTCATTTTCAGGGAGAGGAGGAAGACGATGCTGCCAGTTTGCTATCAGCTTCATACAATGAGCAGAATCTTGTACAGTGCCAGAGCTATGGTAAAATGGTTGTGTATCAAGATCTGTAACGTTTATTTTTTGTTATTCAAACTGCCAAGGAGCCTTGAGAAAAGTTCTTGGCCACAGATTACTTGTGTAGATGCAACCCCCTCAGGAACAAAGTCAGAGAATTAGAGGGGGAAGAATTTGTTTGTTCTTCTGGTTATTATCATACTTTAAAAGATAAATTGGACCAATATCTTTTGTGACTGGTTTACATCTCTAGAATGTGTTACACATTTGCATTGCAACGTTACAAATGGAATTGTATCTTCATTTAACATGATTGCCAGTTCTAAAATAATCCTAGCTCTTTGTTTTGGCTATCTGGATTCAAATTTCGCATACAAAGATTATCTGATTCCTCTTTGAACTGGTTGATAATGCATTCTCTCTATCCAAGCAGCTACTATATTATTTCCCAATAAAGGAAGATGCTACTAAAGAAATTTTGTTCATGTTGGATCTCTGAAGGTTTTATCTCACATAAATTTGTTTCTGGAAACAAATCGGTTTAATTGAGCTGTGCATGCTCCACAAATTATTTATAAATAAGTCTTCCAATCCCATGAAATGGTGGTATCCTTCTGCTATTCATTATTTTTCAGGCTTCCATGACAATCTGAAAAAGTGGCTGCTGTTTTAGTAAGCCAAACTATTAAACCAATATTTCTTAAATACAACTCTAAGCCTAAGAAAAATATAGTTCCTCTAAACTATATTTTTCTTAGACTCATGAATAACCCAGAAAAAAGTTGTGGCTAGTAAAGATGTTTTGCATTCATGTGAAAAACAAAATCTAGGTTTGTAAAATTGCAGCAAGGAAAAACAAAATATGGGAACTAAAATTTCCCCTGCCTCTACAATAAGTCCATTTTCCAGGTGTTCGGCAAAGTTTTGTCATGCAAGGTTCAGAACCCCATGTTTTCCCAATCTCAACTCAAAGCAAGACAGAGGTTGACAGTTCCTACACAAGCCATAACAGCATATTTTCCCCCCTCATACAGCCCCTCAACCATGGTCAGAGTTATCTGACCATGTAATGAGAGGACTGGGAGCAGTGCCTCAATCAGGCTTTCCCCACTTCGATGCTGTCTTGTAGAGGAGCAGAAAGATGACCTTGGAGAAAGCATAGCTAGCCTGGAAATGAAGCGTGAGAAAGAAGATTTAAAATTATCTTGTATCAGAGGTGGGTTTCAGCAGGTTCTGACCAGTTCTGGAGAACCAGTAGAGGAAATTTTGAGTAGTTTGGAGAACCGGTAGTAAAAATTCTGACTGGCCCCACCCCCATCTATTCTCTGCCTCCCAAGTCCCAGCTGATTGGGAGGAAATGGGGATTTTGCAGTAACCTTCCCCTGGAATGGGGTGGGAATGGAGATTTTATAGTATCCTACCCCTGTCACACCCACCAAACCACGCCCACCAAGCCACGCCAACAGAACCGGTAGTAAAAAATTGCCCTGTATTGACTCTCTTTGGTATAAGAGGAAGGAAGGGGGAATGTAACCAAGGCTTCTAAAATTCTATTAATGTGGCCGATATCAAAAAAGTAGAGATTTAATATTTCTTGTGGTATCTGTTTCCTGACCTGGCCTACCTCAAAGAGCTGAGATCTTAGATATGTTGGAGTTCAATTCTAATTAGCGCCAGCTAGTGTAGACTCTGTTGGCATGCATTAAATCCTATTTGAACCCAATTCCTGTTTTATATTGTTGTGTGTCCTGGACCAAATGGTGTTATACTTTTTAGAAAAAGGTTTAAGACCCCAACACTGACAGAAAATTGAGTGAATTTCAAGCATTGGAAAAGTTACCTGCAAAATGCTGCATTTGAGGATAATAACAACTGCATAATTCAAGGTTGAGACCACACAGCACAAACCTCTGTAGGGACATTTCCTATCCCCAGTGAATTTCCCTGACATAGATATAAGATTTATTATAGCCCATTTCGCCATTATAATATTCACTAAAAGGGCTTTTTTTAAAAAAAAAAAATTAATTAACACACATAAAAAATGTGGAGGCAGCAACTGAAGCAGAACATTGTATGGGGGCAGGGAATGAGGTAAGGTTTTTATAGAAATGCTTCTGAATTTGGATTCCCTCTTCACACTGCAATAATAATTCCATATATACCGAAATGTAAAGATCTTATTGAACATTCAGGAGACTCATTAAAACTAAAAATGCCATCTGAAAAAAAAAAAGAAATTAATACTTTTCTTCAGCAGCAGACGCTTAAAAACATAAAAGAAAAACCTCATTTCTAATGTAGAAGTTCCTTCAAAAATTAGCTTACTCGGTGATATAAATTAGTTTTCTTTGTGAACTAAAATTGACTTGCCGTTAACTACTTAGTCAAAAAAAAAAAAAATAGTTGGTGAAAAGGCCCAGCCTCGGAGCTTTGGACTGTGGGTTCCTTTCATGCTGTAAACAAATGCTTCAGATTTAAAGCTTTCCCATAATTGTTATGCTAACCTTGGAGTGAAACCTCTCCATTTGCATTTGAAGGAGCTAAATATTAGGCAGGAAAGAAAAGTGCTCTTTTTAAAAGCATGAGAAAATGTTCCTTCTTTTTGGTCCTCAACCATCTGGGCAGGCTCTGTTTTTCTCTCTCTCTGGCAGAGGAAGAAGTGGAGGGAAAGGGACAGGGGTGGCGGTAATCTCACTCGAGAAGGAGGAGGAGGAGGAGGAGGAGGAGGAGGAGGAGGAGGAGGAGGAGGAGGAGGAGGAGGAGGAGAAGAAGAAGAAGAAGAAGAAGAAGAAGAAGAAGAAGAAGAAGAAGAAGAAGAAGAAGAAGAAGAAGAAGAAGAAGAAAGTAATTCCTTCTGTATGTGAATGGGAGCATCAATGAGCTTTACTATAGGGAAAGCAAAAAAATGCATTCCTGGAGGATATTAAGTAAAAGTAGGTGAGAAAGGGGTGAGAATAGAAAGAAGCAGCTTTGACTAAAATCCTCAGTAGTTCAGCAACATAAAATACATTGCAAGAACTGAGATCTATGTGGGTGTGGGTGGGTGTATACAGGTTATTCTTGATATATAACGGTTCATTTAGTGACTGTTCAATGCTACAAGGGTACTGAAAAAAGTGACTTATGACCATTTTTCACACGTACAACTGTTGCAGCAATCCCCATGATCCCATGATCAAAATCCAGACACTTGGCAACTGACTCATATTTATGACAGTTGCAATGTCCCAGGGTCATGTGATCACCTTTTGCGAGTTTCTGACAAGCAAAGCCACATTCACTTAATAACCATGTTGCTAGCTTAACAACTGCTGTCACTCACTGGACAACTGTGGCAAGGAAGGTTGTAAAATGGGGTAAAATTCACTTAACAACTGTCTCGCTTAGCAACAGAAATTTTGAGCTCAATTGTGGTTGTAAATGGAGAACTACTTGTATAGATAGATGGGTAGTTAGATGAGAGAGAGAGAGAGAGAAAGAGAGAAAGAGAGAGAAATAATAAAGAATCTTTGAAACTTTGATCATACAATTTTATCTTATGCTATATTTTCACTTACTTTGGGCAAAAATATCCAGTAGGATTTATTAAATGGCAAATTTGAAGAGAAAATTAAATGTGTTTGTGATCTTATACAGGTACAGTCAAAAGTATTATAGAATGGCATAGTGTACCCTTGATATGGTTGTAGAAAGCATGAAAAGAAAATTTGATTTGAAGGAGATTTGAGTGAGTTATCCCTTTGAATTGCATCTTCACATCTTCAAATTGGTTTGTGCCATCGAATCATATCAGGGTCCTATAAATAGCTTCAAAGAAGTTGGAAAGTGATTGGCTTTGCAATGTTTTGCAGACAAAGCATTGTAGAAGTTTTTCTCATATGGTCAAAGTTAAGAGACTAGAGATTGGTACAATGGGCTCTCCAATGTCGATATGAGTACCTGGTCAGTGAATTGTATGACTTCTACAAATCTTGCCTATCTTTCTGCTGTTTGGAGAGACGCTTTGTTGTGTATGTCTTACCCTTCTGAAAGAATCTGCTTAGGCAGGTTCGTTTGGAGGTAGAAAGAAACAGATTTATTCGGCTGCTGTGTTTGCTCTGATTGTTCTTTCTTGCGTGGCTCTCTACCATTCCTCCAATCCATAGGTTTTTTTGTGTCCTCCTTATCTCTCAAACCGTTTATCTGATGTTTAGCATACTGCTATTTTTTGTGCCCAGTAATTGCAATTCTTCACTCTGTCATTTTGTTCTTTCTCTCTCACTTCTTTGTAATTCTCTGTGCTTCCGGTTAGAGAACTAAAATAGAAAGACATAAACAAAAAATCCTGTTTACTTGTCTTATATTTTAAAAATAAGTTATCCTCACTTCTGTTGGAAGGGAAGCTGAGGCTTTGGTGAAGAGAAGACGGCTTCCTCAAGCGCCTATAGACTGAATGGACTACTTCAGGTGAATCAATTAGGTTGACAAGCCAAAACTTCTTCATCCCTGATTAAAGATACAATCAGCTGCTTTTTCTGCACAGCTGGCAACAACTCAAGAAAATGTGGCCTGACAGCCATGTCATAAGAGAAAAGGGGAAAAAAGGGGGCATCCAAATAGTCAAGAAAGAATGAGGAAAGGGGAACTCAGCAATGGTAAATATATGTAAATGCACACACACACACACACACACACACACACACATGGTTACACAATTCAAGGAAAAGAAATCTTTCAATCTTACAAAGTGCACACAAACTCCAGTGTGTTCCTGTATGATATCACTCAGTTACACATTTTGCTAGGTTAAGACATATTGAAAGAATTTCAGAATCTACAAGTATGTTAAAAAAGGATCACAAAATCACAGATGTAAAAAAAAAAATCTGCCATAATAACTCTTGATTTCTCTCTTTTGGTTTTCAGGAAAGAAATGAAGAGTATTGCAGGGAAACGGGAAGCCTTCCTTTAAAAGGAATTGAAAAGAAATCCTCCATGCTCCTTAGGTACAAATGGTAATAACATAATTAATCTGGTAATTGACTGACCCTTCATAATTTTATTATTTGTCTTCCACATGGTGCAACTACATATTACTTCTATAGAAAAGGAATTTATTGTTCATGCTATCATTTCCGTACTGTGCAACTCCTGGTCCTTACTCTGTAGTAAGTAGCATCAGAAAATGCAAAGCAGAAAAACAGTGGGACACTCATATGGTAGCCCTTCTAAATCTACATAACAAATCTACAGAAATTTACATAACACGGTGCTTCTCAAAATAGGCAGTTCTGCCCCATATATTTTCTAGACAAGCATCATTGGGCACGTGTTCCCCATTACCAGGTATGTTCACGTGCCACTGACTTACCTCTCATAAACTCTGTTTGGTAAACTGTGAATGCTATTCAGCTGAGATGTGTTTAGTTAGGTGGATTTTTTTTTCTAAGTTGAAGAGCTTTGGTGGCCCTCCGTAGATCATCCCTCAATGAAAATCTTCAAGACAAAGCATCATGTCTCAGCAGTAGGTGTCCACTTCTAATCAAATGGTGTGTAAATTCAATATATAGCTATTAAGCAGAAGCTGGGGATTGCAGAGAAAGAGATTACATTGTAAATTGGGCTGTTAAAGAAGATGGGTTTAGAGCTAATTTCCATTGCATTGTTTTTCCATTTTTCTTCACTCTGAACCGATGCTAACTTATGCAGTTAGAATAAGAATTCTTAACATCTCAATGCTAAGGAACTGAGAGTTACTTAGCTTAACTATTAAATTTATATGCTGCCCATCTGAGTGTTAAGCGACTATGGGCAGTTTATCTGGTTGGGCTTCTCTAAACTTTTATACTTGAGGAACATGCTGAAATCCTGAACTCGGAGGATGAGATATTTTTCCCAAACTGAAAATATTCTACTATTTCTGAAGGCCTCTTACAGAAAGTTGGCCATGGCATCATTTTTGTTTAAGAGTTGTGGACTTCAACAACAAACTTCAAAAGAAGCTACTTCTCTAGGAGGTGTGTTTTCATCTTTCCATAAAGGGAAACAGGATGTTGTCTAGATTCCAGAATTTCCTCACAGCAATAGCTTATATACTGCCCCCATAGTACTTTACAGTATTCTCTGGGCAGTTTACAATGTGAGCATTATTTACATATCCCCCCTAGGTCTTCATTTTTCCAACCTCGGAAGGATGGAAGGCTGAGTCAACCTTGAGCATCATCAGGATTGAACTCCAGGCTGTGGGCAGAGTTTGCCTGCAATAGTGCACTTTGACCACTGCCACCCCCAGGGTTATTATTATAGTGATAGCATATTATGTAGCATAGATTTTTAACCTTCCATTATAAACAGGTATCCGTACGTGAAGAAAAACATGAAACAATTCTGTGGCCTTTTTTACTTTTTTAAAATGCATTGTATTTCTCCTGCTCCAATGATGTGGCAAGAGAGAAATTGTTAGGCAAGCTACTTAATGAAGAAGACTGCCACTGAACTAGAAACAGGATATTTTTTCAGTGCATTCCAAGGTAAATATAAAAATGTTCTCAAATCAAATTTGATTACTGACTTCATGGATGTTGACAGAGGTGAGGAAACAAAAATATAGAATTAATATTTCATTGGCTTCTTCCAGGATGTTCATTTCTCAGTTTAGCCCACAGGCCTGATATTTGCTAGTTGGTTTATGGTTTATGGTTTATTAAATTTGTATACCGCCCTTCTCCCGAAGGACTCAGGGCGGTGAGCAGCCAAAATTAAAATACATACAGTAGAAAAATTAAAATAAATTAAAACAGAATTAAATCAGCTTGGCTTCCCTAAATTTTTAAAAACCCTTTACCCATAAAATAGCCCATTAAAATTTTAAGCCAGCCCGGCTTGCTGGAATAAGAAGGTCTTCAACGCTTGGCGGAAAGTACGGAGGTCCGGGATCAGTCATATTCCTGGGGGTAGCTCGTTCCAGAGGGCGGGTGCCCCCACAGAGAAGGCTCTCCCCCTGGGAGTCATCAGTCGATATTGCTTGACCGATGGCACCCTGAGGAGACCCTCTCTGTGGGGGCGGATTGGCCGGTGGGAGTGGTCTCCATTCCTAATATTCCTCCATTCCTAATATTTACCAAGCCTAACCCTGCTTTATTCAAAACCAATCAAAATCAGATAGGTGCATATTCTACCAGCAGGTTCAAAGTAGATTTTGACACCACATCTTTCCATAGTTGCCGCTGCTGAAAATCAACATCTAAATCTTATATAATTTTGCTGTGGGTTGAAAACCAGTTTTACTTTCTATAAGATCAGACCAAATCACTGTCCTGGAGAAAACGGTGAGGTTGGCACTGTGATCATTGTCTCCTGCAACATTCTCCACTGAGCCAAAAAGTGAATCTAAGCAATTCAATCCGATCCAGCATAGGGGGACATAGACGGCCCATCGTTTTTAAACCCCTACAGAAAAACAAAGAACTCACTCTTAATTGCTGTTACTTCAGCAGCCCAGCCATTAATGCATGGGAGAAAAGTGACAGAAACTTTGGAAGAAAGGGAAATTCCAGCAATTACAAGCGAAAGTGGTTGTAATCAAAACGCTGAGAACTGGAAGGGGATGTCAAAATAGGCGTCGAGGGATAGAATGTGCTGGAAGAGGATGCGGCTTGCTGGACTCCTGAACAGCCGCTCTGCACGTTGCAACAATATATTCCAGGCTTGACTTGAAGGCTATAAGGCTGTTTTCATTTGCTTTGCACTCTATATAAGAAATATGGGTCTTAGTCATTTGGGCCGACATAGCCGCAGACAAGCATTCAGGAGAGAGATCCTTTCAAGCCATTCCAAAAATTAAGAAGACAAAAGACTGCTTGAGCAACAGGCTAACAGAACAGACAAATGAAAGTTGATGGGAAGAATGTAGCAGGATCGTGCATTAAACTTGAGCATTCCCTAGTTTGAAGCCGCCTGGATATTTGTGGGACTGCAATTCTCTGAATTCCCAGCCAGAACCTTTTTCTAATCTTTTTAAGGCAATGCTAACAGATACCAGTTCACCACTGTTGCTGAACTGGGGCAAATATAGAAGAAATGGGCCAGAATAGGTCAAACGGGCCTGGTGGCTCAGCAGACTGATAGCATTGTGATTAACACCAGCTGTCTGCAATTACTGTAAGTTCGAATCTCCCCAGGCTCAAGGTTGACTCAGCCTTCCATCCTTTCTAAGGTTGGTAAATTGAGGACCCAGTTTGTGGGGGCAATAAGCTGACTTTGTATAAATATACAAAAGTATGGAGGCTATTGCTTAATGCATTGTAAGCCGCCCTGAGTCTCCGGAGAAGGGCGGCATATAAATCAAATTAAAAAGAAAAAAAAAAAGTCAGCAAGCAGGAGACATGCAAGCAGATTCTTCCACCTTAATCATTCAAAAAAATCATTTCAAATCTGCACCTTTCAATTGTTCTACTGGCAAAATATCTTTTCCTGCTGTAGTGCAGGCCAAGGCATAAATGCCACACAGCGGATAATTGATCAAAGATTAATTTCTGCATCTAGGAGGAAACTGAGAGATACATCTACCTTATCTTATGCTCATTTGGGATGTGTGATGTTTGATACTGCACAACTGGCTCTATTTTAAACCTCCGATTTTTTCAGCAACGTGCAAACGAGATGAGAAGGCCTTGTTCTCTCCGAGATGGTAAGGCTGTACCTGCGATGTGTTCTTTCAGACTCCAGACTGGCTTTCAGTTCATTAAAATGTTTCTGACAACAGTTTCCTGCTCTTAAAATATATATACTGTATATGTTCTCCCTCCCCCACCTGTCTGAAAAAGTCCAATTCAGTCACAAGTTTTCCATTAGGCTAGGACAGGGCTACGGCCAGGTTAAAAGGAGGTATGACAAGCAGGGATGTTTGCAGGGAGGGGATAAAAAAAAATCAAGATGGTGGCCATAACCATGAATGTAAGAAAGGGTAGGGTTTGGATTGCATGGTAGAGGTTCACATTTTGAATTTTTGATCTTCCTTCCTGGGGATATTCCTGCTTGCTGACAAGATACTCCCTAGGACAGGGTGTCCAAATTTGGCAGCTTTTAAGTCTTGTGGACACTTGAAGTCCACAAGTCTTAAAGTTGCCCAGGTTGGATACCCCTGCTCTAGAACTTCCTCAGGAAGCTTAACACGAGAGGCAGGTTGTCCTTGTCCTCCTTGAAGTCTCTATGATGGTATTTCTGATGGTTAGGTTGCTATACCTGGCGCTGGGAAGGGAAGCAGGTTGATTAATCCCTGATCCCTGCTGCTTTAGGCACCTGTCAGAGGCAGAGGAGGCCAAATACTCATCCGTGTGTGAAACTGTTATCACATAAAAACTGGCCCTGATGTCCTTGAGTCAGCATCAGAATGCAAGTGTATCTTCACAATGCTGACATAACGACATCACCCACATGTCATCTTTCTGATTACAGTGTGATTTGTTACAGAGGCCAGTTTGTGCTACCTCAATATGCATAGACACAGGGGAGAATTTAAAGAGCAGCAGCAAGGACTCTTGTACCATGTTTCTCTAACCATGCCAGGTAAACTAAGCCATGATTTTTTTTAAAAAAATTAAAAGATGTCCCTTAGCAACGGACATCAACCAGAAGAAATCCTCTGATGCAGGTTGCCCAGCATTTGCTTCTATTATCCTGGGGTGGGTCTCAGACCTACCAGAATGAAATCCATCGCTCTGCATGCATTTTAAAACAGTCCCCACATTATCACAAACAGAAGAACAGGTAGTCCTCAACTTAACAATAGTTCATTTATTTCCCACAGTACTGTTTTAGGCCCTCAAGATATTTACCCATGTAGTAGGCTGTATTGCTATTATCCATCTCATCTTCTCATCTTTCTTATCTTCTCATGAATTAATTAGGGCATCTTTCGGAAACTTGACACTCATCTTTTTCATCATTCCTACTACCTTCTCCTATTGTTGTCTATGATTATCACTTGTTGTATCTTATGATGAATGATTGTAACTATGTTCAAACCTATGCAAACCTATCACTTTGTTGTTTGTATGTACACTTGAGAGCTTATGCACCAGAGACGAATTCTTTCTGCGTCCAATCACACTCGGCCAATAAAGAATTCTGTCTATCTTCTATCTTCTATTTAGTGACTCTTCAAAGTTGCACCAGTACTGGAAAAAGTGACTTATGACCATTTTTCACAGTTACAACTTTTGCAGCATCCCCAGGGTCTTATGATCGAAATTCAAATGCTCGGCAACTGGTTCATATTTATGACAGTTGCAATGTCCCAAGGTCGTGCGATCACCTTTTGCAACTTTCTGACAAGCAGAGTCAATGGGGAAAACTAACTGTTGTTATTTGTTACTAACTTAACAACTGCAGTGGTTCATTTAACAACTGTGGCAAGAAATGGGGCAAAAAAATCCCTTAACTAATGTCTCACTTCACAACAGAAATGTTTGGGCTCGGTTGTGGTCATAAATTGAGGACTGCCTGTACTTGAGTTATTCATTTGGAAAATTGCCATATGGGAAAGTAATATTTCAAGGTATATTAATCTGAAGACAAACATAGCAATGTACCCCAAGGTCATGCTACAGGGAAGCTGAAAAAATCAGGCTTTTTTCCTAAAACACACACACACCATTTTTGATGAACCTAGTTTTAAAATCAAAATAATCTCACCATTATTTTTGCATCCTTTTGTTGAAGAGGGTGAGAAATCCACATGCATAAAATAATTGATTGTAGATCTGGGCACATCTAGGGTTGTAGATTAATGTGCTAGGTTGAAAAGCATTTGTTTTATAGCAGGGAATTTTTATATTGTGAGTGGTTGCATCAAGCACATATCTACACGTATCATACAATTTATAGCTGGTTTTGCATCATCATCATATATTCCACAGTGACCCAAACTTTTGTGATGTTATGGCATGCTGTCTTTGTAATTACATTAGTTATATTTATGGTGCCATAAAGCAAATTATAGTTTGCATTCTACATACAAGGCCAACCCAGTAATACACTAAAATATTTTTTATAACCAGATGGAAATGGATTAATACAATGGGAAAGTTGCTTGTTCAATGTGGTGAATGCCTTCTATCACAATATGGAGATACTTGGCAAGCACCAGATGAAGGGGGGAAAATATATTAACAATAGCAAGAATCCATCAAAAAAAATGTTCCTCTACATTTTGGGAATGTGTGTGATCTTTGAAGGAATACATTGATCTTTCAATGTCTGTGTTCATTCTTTGACAAGCCGATCTACTTGCTTGAGAAATATATCTGTATTAACAGTCATTCGACTGTTATAAAAAGCGCATAACCGGGGGAGGACAATATTTCAGACAACAATGCCAAGAACTGTTGGCATCCTACGATTTTCATATCATCGAAACTTTTCCACACTTTTTGGATGTACAGCCCTGGTATCTAATGAAGTAACAGCATTAGCTATTTGCACAGGGAGAGAACTAAAAAGCAGTGGATAGAAACTATATCCAGTAACAAAAATAAGTAATAATTCAACCGCAAGCACCAAGGGAACACACACAAAATTAGCTCTCTTGCATTTCTCCATTGTGGCCTCTTGCCTGGGGAACTTTGTTCCAGTTGATATCTGCCAGGTCCTATGATTACAGGCCTTAAGGGAACACTAAAAACTGGTCTCTTTGTCTTGGCTTAGAATTCCAGTTGACACAACTGTAGGCATGGCCCTGTCTGGCTTTACATACAGACAGACATAGATACAGATATAAAATTGCTGTTTTCTGATTTTTAATTTTGAGGGATAGTCATGTTCTCTTGGACTGGATAATGCCAGTAAAAAAAAGGGGGTGGGACTTCAATTGCATGGTTGTAGCCACCATCAAGCTTCCCAAGCAGGAAACAAACCAGATGAGTTAATTCTATTTTATGGTAAGACTTCCATTAACAGAATCTTGTAAATCTGAGAGTACAAAACTCCTGCTGTCTCTTTTACAGTCTGATAGCTTAGGACAGAGGTGTCAAACTCAAGGCCCGTGGGCCGAATCCGGGCTGTGGAGTGCTTAGATTTGGCCCACAGGGCTGCCCTGAAACAGCGAAGGACCAGCCCGCGGTGCCTCTGCCAGCAAAAAAAGCGGTTTTTTCGGGGGCCCGATCCGCGCCCCCCCCCCCCCCGCTCCATTTTCACTGGCAGAGAGCTGCAGGAGGTCATCGCCACTGAAAACGGGGCCCCGGGTGTGTTGTACTAGCCCTCTGCCAGTGAAAACTGAAAGCTAGCAAAACAAACTAAAAGCAAAACAAAACAAAACAAAAAGAGGAATAGCAATAGCAATAGCACTTAGACTTACATATGCCACTTCACAGTGCTTTACAGCCCTCTCTAAGCGGGTTAGAAAGACAGCATACTGCCCCCAACAATCTGGGTCTTCATTTTACCCACTTCGAAAGGATGGAAGGCTGAGTTAACCTTGAGCTGGTGAGAATTGAACTGCCGAACTGCTGGCAGCCGGCAGTCAGCAGAAGTAGCCTACAGTACTGCATTCTAACCACTGCGCCACCACGGCTCTTAATGTTTCCCCTTTTGCATTTGAGCATCCATAAAGGGACAGGAAAGGAGAAAGGGAAAGAGAAAGGACAAAAAAAAAAGAAGGGAAGATGGGAAGAGAGGAGGGAGGGAGGGAGGGAGGGAGGGAAGGAAGGAAGGAAGGAAGGAAGGAAGGAAGGAAGGAAGGAAGGATCCTGCCTTAGCACTTGGCCACCAGCAACCCTGCTGCCCTTTCGCCATCCCCTTGTCTTCTCCTCCTGACCTCTTCTAGTGCCCACAGGTGCCTCCGACACGAGTGATGTCAAGCTGTCCATGCCCACCCCAGCCACGCTCACTCAGCCCCTTGAGGTCAAACACAACCCTGATGTGGCCCTCAATGAAATCAAGTTTGACACCCCTTTTAGGGAGATTCCTTTCTAAGTTTCTTTCTCTGTTCATTATGCAATTGTGGGCTTCCCACCATTTATCTAATTGTTCCTAGCTGCAGCATGCTTCAGCTGATTCCCACCTACCATTATACATACGGGCAGTTTTGACCCCTTCCCTCCAGACACCCATTTCTAGGCCCCCAAACTAAAGTGAAGCTTTTACAAATTGTTTGGCCAGCGTGTTTTTTTTGCATTTTTAACCAAAGATATAGCATTGGATAGCCTATTCTGTTACATGAGATGGCAACAGATGATTTAGGTATCTCTGGAAGAATAGTTAAGTAGGTACAACAGGGGTCACCTCAGCCATGGCTGAGGAATTCTAGGAGTTGAAGTCCACAACTCTTAAAGTTGTCATGTTTGGAGACCCCTGAGCTAAAGCAAGGAAAGCTGCAATCCCATACAACCATAATTACATCCTACATTTATTTAATAGATCTCCTAACAGTTTACTTTGTAAATGAAGCCAACAGTATATGAGCTGTGGAACAATCAGATTCCAGTAGTAGTGAGAATGTGAGGATTCGTTTAAATAACCATGAGCACAGATGCCAATCAAGAAATATACCATAGAAAAAAATACATTAGTCTAAGAGTTCAGTGATAGACCCATATTTTGTATATTAAGGATGGTGGTAATGTTTGATATCTTCATTTAAGAAGGTAAAACATGATGTTGAAGATGGCTACCTGAGATTGGTGAAGCTACTGATATTTAAGTAGTGAATGGGTAGCTCGAGGGTGGATCAAGGACTCCATATGTAACAGCACCATATCATCCATAGACCTTTCCCATGTATGAATAACTAGGAAATGCTTTGCAGAGGAAGTTCAGGAGAAAACAGGTTGTTCCCTGTTGTCTTGTTTACATGCAGCCCTAAACAAATTCTAGACTTTGGGATCTTCATATGAGGAACTGCATGTGAGATTATAATCCTTACATTGACTCATACAGTTGTGTGGATGAGCTCAATATATGCAGCTCCCCAATTCAGACTGCTGAATACAAGAATCAAAAAAGCCATTTATGGGCATAGCTTGCCCCAGTTAACACTGCATACTTAACTGAATCAGGGCAGAAGAAGATCATTGTGTTCTGGGCACATGAGTCAATACTAAACAGATTAAATGTAGCAGATTGTGGTGAGATGGGCGGTCAACAAATTTAACTAAATAAAAACATAAATAAATTTAACCTCAAAAAGAGACAATCATGAACAGGTTAAATGAATTCCATCCAGGCTTTTCGGCTGTCGGAACACTTACAGCCAACCAACTGATTCATTTTGTATCAGTTGTCCTCCCAGAAACTGTCCCAAAGTGATGGAGCAACTGAAATTGCAAACCCTTCTGTTATAAAAAGAAGACTGGCAGCATAGAATAGCCTTGCAAATACTAGCTGACTTTACTGGCCAAGCCATGGTCTCTTCTGCTTGACTAACCAAAGGGGAAAATATAAATGATATTCTGAAACTTTGAGGCCCTGGGATACTAAGTACTTTCTGAACAAAATCGGGGAGGAATCAAATCTCTGTTTCCAGAATACTATTGTTTGTTTATTCATTAAATTAAGATTAATGGCTCTGG